ATGCCACTGCAAACAGCCACTGCAAGCAGCCATGTCCTCCCTTACTGGGCAGATCTCCACCTGCTATCTCTGCACTTCGTGGCATTCACACAGGCTGTCACACTGAATTATACCCGCCTGAGTACCGTCGTCAGGGAGCTCGAATATGCTTCGTAGAAGCCTCAAGATGAACCTTTGGAGCTAAATAACCGCAGGGTAATGGATAGATGTAATGCAGTGTGAAAAAACCTTGGGGAGCAGAGAGAGGGTTTTCAAAGCAGTGCAACAGGCTGAAATTCTGCCAAGGAAGTAAATATTGCAAAATTTGATGCTGTTGAAGAGCATCATTCACCCCAAGCACTTAGGAACTGGAAGATGGACATGAAGTAAAAAGAAAAGTATGGTCACAATCATCTTCATTTATTTTCCTCTTGAGGCGTCTTCCAAACACCCTCTGCAGTCCTGGAGGAGGGCTCAGAAGTTTCCTTCGAGAAATTAATGAAAGTCAGCATGAGGTCCTGAGGCCCCACACCACGTACAGATGATCTGGGACAAGCTGTTCCACTGCAGAGACCCAGCAGATGTGGGCCTCTACCGCTGAAACCATCACCCCTGATGAGCTTGGGAAGCCCGGAGTCATGCAGCATCCCCTCAGGCATGGCTCAGCCCCCTTCCCAGGCCAGGCAGGGTGTCACTCACAGGTGAAGCCATGAGGTGCCAGCTCATCTGGCGACAGCCAGGGGTGATTTAAGCAGCAACAGATGCTTTTTGCCATTGCTGACTTTATAACTGTTTCCTTCTGTCTCACCCATTATCCTGACCTCGGGCTTTGCACACAGCAGGTCTCAACCTGCAGCCTGGGATGTTTCTTAAGCACATAGAGCAGAAGCAAGTGGGAGAGCAAGGGCTGGTTTAGGGCCTGACACCCACAGGATGGGTGACCTGGGACTGCTTCCTCTGAGAGCCGTTGGCCAATGCTGACAGGCTCAAAGCAAAGTATTTCAAGAGAGAAGTCACAGAGCAGCAGACTGTGGAGAAACGACCTGCAGAGCTGACCACTGAGCTATCCTTTTCACTTATTGACTTACTGATGTTTGCAAACCTCAGGTCATTATTTACTTTAAAAACACCCAAACAAACCCAAGCAAACCTTATCATGCCAGAGTTAAAAGCAGTATCAAGCCAACTGCTGGCAACAGCCCCAGTGCCACGGTACAGCTGCCAGCAGAGCTGGTGGTGATCCCTGTGCTCCTGAGCCCTTGTCTGCACGCACACATCACCCCTCTGAGCAGGACTGAGCACCCCTGTGGATGCAGCCGCTTCAGCCAATGTGCCTCTCCTGGCAGGGGACCAGGCTCTGCTCAAGCACATGCTGATGGCTGGGACAGGCACTGGTTCAAGCCATGCTGCCAGGCAGTGGCAGTAGTACTGTGCCCAAGCCATTGAGCCCAGAAACTGACAGTGCAAATGCTGCCTGGCCGGAGCTCCATCCAGCTCCCCGTGCCTGCTGAGCAGTGAGGAACCATGGGATTTGATTTCCATGGTGCCAGGGAAACACAAGACTTGGTTCACCTGCCCTTTCCATCGTCAGTTCACCCACCTGTGGTGGGCTGACCCTGGCTGGATGCCATGTGCCCACCAAGCTGCTCTATCACACATCAGGATCAGGGCAAAAAATAAACTGGAAAAAACTTCATGGATCAAGATAAAGACAGTTCAATAAAGCAAAAGCAAAGTTCACTCACAGAAGCAGAGGAAAATAAAAGATTTCATTCTCTACTTCCCATCAGCAGGAGATGCCCAGCCACTTCCCAAGAAGCAGGGCTTCACTATGTATAGCGGTTGCTCCAGAAGACAAACATTGTAAGTAAAGAACGCACCTTTCCTCTGCCTGGGGTGTGCTTCCCACCCATCACACTGCAGTGGAGGTGACCAACCTGCAGTTCAGCACCAGGCCTGGGATGCGGTGCAAGGCAGCCAGCACTGCAGTGGGAGCACCTCAGTTCAACAGTGTTGACACTGGTCACCAGCTGGTATTTGCTCATGCATCTACAGCCCGCAGAGTGGCTGTGCAGGAGAGATGGCAAATAAACAGTGCTTCAGGCAGCAGGCATCCCCATCCACAGGCTGCGTGTGCAGGCAAACACAACGATGGGCAATGGAGCATTGCCCTGTGCAAACATGAAACTGCAAGATGCACGAAAAACCCCACAATCACCCCAGCCATGGCAGCTACTGAAAGCAGCCAAGAGGAGAAAAGCCAAAATATCCCTTCTATGGTATTGGGAGCTATGCAGAGGTATCCACCAAAGAGCAGTGTGGTATTACAGTCCAAGCACAAACAGCAAAACAAGTTGTACGAGCTCCTATTTTTTTCATTAGACCAATTCATCTAGTTGAGGTGTCATCTCAATATTATCTAATAATTTAATAATAAATGAGGGAACTGGGTTTGTTTAGTCTGGAGAAGAGAAGGCTCAGGGGACGACCCTATTGCTCTCTGCAGCTACCTGAAAGGAGGGTGCTGGTCTCTCCTCCCAAGTAACAAGTGAAAGGCCAAGAGAGCCTCAAGCAGCACCAGGGGAGGTTTAGATTGAACATTAGGAGCAATTTCTTCACAGAGAAGGTGCTCAGGCATTGGGAACAGGCTGCGAAGGGCAGGGGTGGAATCACCATCCCTGGATGGAACTGTTTAAAGACCTCATCAGGCCCTCAGTAACATGGTTTAGTGGTGGCTTTGGTAGTCCTGGGGTACTGGTTGGACTGTCTTTTCCAACCTAGCCAATTCTGTGATTCTATGAAATCAAATGATCTAAGTACCAAACAAAACAAAGAGAGTAGCACGTAAGCTCCATGCTCTTGCAAAGCCTCAAGAAAAAGCTCATGCAATTAATAGACAAGTAATAGTGCTCCAGACACTACAGCAACAGCAGCATTAGGATTACTCTGGAGAATCATTTTGGTTGGAAGGGACCTTAAAGCTCATCCAGTTTCATCCCCCTGCATGGAGGGAGGTGGTTATGCCCCTAGACCAGGTTTGCTCAAAACTCTGTCCAACCTGGTCTTGGTAATAACCCAGCCACAAAGATTCCCATGGAATTAGCATGGGGTTTAACTGAGTATTTTCATCTCAGGGACATCAGTGCCTGCAGCTTTACCGGTGATCCCCCAAACTGCCTGGCAAGTGCCAGTTACCAGCAGTGATGAGGAAGACCCAATGCTCCCTGCAGCCATTGTGGGCTGACAATTGCATGAAGCACCTCAGACCTGGCACCCAGGGCAGCCGCTGGCAGCACCACAACCCCACAACTCCCCCTCCTCACCCACAGTGATGGGGATCCCATCCCTGCTGCACAGGCAGTGGAGGCAGCAATGCCCTTATACTGGTGACCCTCCAGCAGAGAGCATCAGGCATCACCATCAGCCCACTATACTTGAGCTCATGCACAGCTGTTCTCTTCTGGTTTATTGCTGAAGGAAAGGGTCCTACGGAAACAAAATGCTTCAGAGCTTCCCTGCACTTAGAAGTGGATGAGGTCAGCTGAAAACAAGCAGAGCATGAGAACGGGACTAACCGTTCCTTACACGGGAATTACAGCAGGTCTGGCATTAGGATTGTTTTCTTCTGTAAAGAAAAGAGCAATCAGAAAATGATCACTGACTGGGGTTTTGTTTTTGTAGATACGGAGTTTAAGGAAAAACCAAGGGGTAAGAGCAGATGGGTTTGATACATAAGCGACTTCTCATTAGAAATGAACATATAAAATTTAATAGCTTGGTTTAAAATACATTTTCAATTAAAAAACAGCAGGCAAAACAAAAAAAAAAATCAGTTTCATAACACATACATAACATTGCTGCTACTGTTACAAGACCCGTGTCCCAGAGTACCTTAGAGTGGAAAACAATTGTCAGATTTAGTTCACATACTTCATTAAGCAGTAAAAAGAAATAACATTCATATCAATCTTACCTCTATAGACTCTAAATCTACTTCCCTGACCCTAGACTGAGTTGCTGTAATAAAACTTCCATTTTCAATAAAAATGTGTAAATATATATATATGTATTCTATGTATCAGGTTTAAAAAAATTCCCTTGCCATAGTAACAGTGTTCCCGTGGCTGACGAAGGGGAGCCCAGGCGGAGAGTTGGTGTTGGCTGGGTGCGAGTCCCGTGGCTGCTCTGCTTGGCTGGTGGTGGATTCCTGTATGGGGTGGCATCTGTTGGCCAGTCAGTCTCTTCAGTGCCAGCTTCTCCGCTTCAGTTTCAAGCCCACAGTCATGGATGCATCCATGTGGAGCCTGCTCAACTCCAGCCACAGAGCAAAGAAGGGAGCACACAGTGCCCAGAGCGTTGGCAAGCCTCCATGGGGCCCGTCAGCAGAGGAGGAGGGGGAATAGAATGGTCTGAACACAAATCCCAAAATACTGTATTTCATAAAAAGTGTTAAAAAACCATGGTGGGGAGGGACTTCAATGGTCACCTGGTCTCGGCACCAAGGGAGGATCACATATACTGCGACCGTGCAGAGAGCTTTGCCCAGCCTGGCTGTGAAGATTTCTGATGCTTCCCGGGGCACCCTGCACTGCTCACCAGAGAAAACTGCCTTGACACCTACCCTGAACCGCTGCAGTTTACACCCAATACTTCTCATTGTGCTTGTGATGGAACCAGGAGAATGGTTCCACATGTTGGGAGGCCACTCCTCTCACCTGCATCCTTGCTTATGGCTTATGGAGATGACCCCTCTGCAGGTGACTCACCCAGCCCATCCTCCTTGGAACCACATGCTCTGGCCTCACTAGGACACCCGACAGGAGGCTGCTCTGCTGGAAGGGAACAGCGCTCCAGTGGCGGCCTCGGCAATGCCAAGTAGAGCAAAAGGTGGGTCTCCAATTTCCTGCAGGCCATGCTCCCATTTATCAACGCCACCTGGCATTTGCCTCCCTCTTCCAAATAGCAACACGACGCAGCCGAACAACATTCAGTTACAATATACATTAAGTAGAATTGTTAACCATTAAGTAGAATCATATTCCACTTTTCAGGACTATTTCTCCAGCCTATCCAGGTTGATCTTCAGGTGAGGCACATGCAGCTTTGTGCTGCCTGAAGATGTTATAAACCCTTCTTTTATTATCCAGATCCCTAACAAAAGCACTGACACTGAACCAGGTACTTATGCTCACTTGCTTGCCTTGTAATGCAGGTTTTTCCTTACAGCTGAGTGCTGCTGTTTAAACTGAGCTAACCTTAAGCTGCTGCTAACCAGAGGGTGCCTTTCTTCATAAGCACATGCACATGATGAGTAAATACTGTATACTCTAATGCTGAAGCAGTATCTGGAGCTATGCTCAGATTGCCTGCTACTAGCTGCCTTTTTGATCTCCCCACCTCAGCAGTGGGTCAATGCAATGTAGGTACATCAGGAAGCAGTTACAAGCCCCTATTCCCTCCTAAAGCTTGGCCTGCTGAGCTGGGATGCCACCCTTCTCTCTCAAAAGCATTGCCTGAGAATTTCCAGCTGTTGACATCCTAGGCCTTGCAAGCTGGCTCCAACCCATGGGTTCATCCAGCCCAAGCTGCTGCGGGCAGTACACTGCTGCTGAAAAAAGCATCCACCCTCCAGGAGACCTTCTTCCTGACCCCAAGATGGGAGATTTCCAGGAAACTGCATCTGCTCAGCTCTTCTTGGAACCCAGCTCTCGGACTCAGCCCAAATGAGCTCCCAGGGCAGCAGCACACAGCAGTTCCAGGGCTAAAAGTCCCAAGAGAAGCCAGGACTGCCATCGCCTGGCTGTGCAGGAGGGCTTGGGAGAGAACCAGTACCTTTTCCTTCCACACAGGGAGATCCATGTTGAATAAGCAGGTCTCTTGTGCCTTCTATGAACATACAAACGTGCTCACCTTTGGTGCATGTTAAAGGTTTGTCCATTTTTAAATAGCGACGTTAAATATCTGTTTTCTCTGTATATGGCATCCTTTTAGATGGGCTTCATTGCATATATTCACGGTATATACAGAACACCATATTTTATATATATTATATTATCAGTTGTATGTACACATTTACAGACCTTCAAAAATATATTGCACTTATATACAATATAGCTTCATCTGATGAGAGTTCACACAGTTACTAAGGCGAGTTCTTCATAAGCAAGGCAGTTTTACATTCCCCCCCCCAGTGACACAAGTGATTTCAACAGTTTGCCCTGTTCATGAGTAAACATTGGAAAGTCTTTTCTCCAACCTGCACGCAACTCCTGCTACTATCAATGAGTAGTTTTGCAGTTCTACCTAGCAGAAAACAGTCCAATAAAATGGTATTAGCTGATAACGGGCTCAAACATGGCTATCAAATAGATAAATAAGATATCACCACTCTAAAAGGCCACCTTCCAGGAGTTTTCCCCTCCTGTATTTACTAATGTTTTATACATGTTCTCTTATTTAATTGCTGATCTCTGCTCACTCAAGTGCAAATAAGGTCATGAGCACTACAGTGTTCTTTGGAAAGAACAGAAACGCACTATATTAAGCAAAACCACTGCTCTGCTCCCCAGAACAAGTCAATACCTGGCTTTCTTCTGGGGAAGGTGATTAGTGTTTTGCCCAACATACTGAATTATGGGAAAATGTTCACTTGAGACCTTTGTTTAAAATCCACAGAGGACCTGTGATCTTAGATCTCGGTCAGAGTGAGCTTGTAAGATCCTCCAACTTCTTCAATCTGCAACTGGAAGGTATCTTCATTAGAATAGTGTTTCACAATGTTATCATCCATGTTGACCAGGATCCTGGAAAAACAAAGTAGATCAGGGATATATTACAGATCTAAATGTGAAAGACAGCAAAGGTGCCTGAAACCTCAGAGAGCCCGGACTGTGCTGGGGTAACACAAGATCCCTGCTCACCTCTCTCTGCCTCATTGCTTCCTACAGTAGATCTAGCTGTCCTTTCCGAAACCTGCCATCAATGCTTACAGCCCCTCTTTTAGGATCCAAAAGCGTTAAATCTGGCTCCCGGACCAGGGAGAGACATTATGGAGCTGGCAGAAACCCTTCTGAAGAGGCTGAAACACCCAATTGACTTTAGAGAAAAACAAAACCAAGAAACTTACTGGGAGATTGAAAGGAAAACCAAAAGTGGACAATTTTGAGGAAATCAACTACTTACACTAAAAAATAAAGACGGTGGAGTGTGGCCTCTGTGGGGAATGGGCACTTCACAATAAAGTTCTTGTCAATTTAGCCCACAAAAAGACAACCAGGCTTAGCAATTGTAGCCAAATGCAGGCATAGCAAGTCCAGTTAACCACTGGAACACATTAACATGGGTTCAAGTGGGTTCTTCACCGCTGGGAGTCTTTAAATAAATGGAACTCTTCTTCCTCTGACATGATCACTCTGGTTCAAATAGCAATAAACTCAGAGAGATTCCGTGACTTGTATTTACCCAGGAAGTCAAACTGCTTGTTCCTATGGGACCCTTCTGGTGTTCAGCTCTATGAATGAGGCTGGAATGTGGGTACACGGCATGCACACACACATACCACAAACAGCATTTGCATACGTGCAAGTGCATGGAGGAATTCTGAAGCAGCTTTGCCTACAGGTTTGAAAGGGAGGAGTTCATGTTCTCAGACAGCTGCTGTGTAGGAACATACTCACCCTTTTTTACATTTTTTGAAGATCTTCCCTATTTTATCAAAAGGCACATCATACTTGTCAGAGATCTGGAACAAAAGAAAGCAAGCACTGGTGAAGCAAGGAGGCTGCTGGCATTGTCTTCCACTTCCTATTTTACAGAAAGGAACAAAACAACCCCCACAGGTCTGCAGATGAAAGCACCTGCTCTGCCTTATAAAGGCAATACTAAAAGCTGAATTATAGAATAAGCTTATAGATGAGAACCCCTCCTCTGCAATTTGCCAACTTCTGTGCAAAAATATTAACCATGCTCTAAACCTGGCCACTAACCCCTCATACAGCAACCTGGCCGCACACCAAAAAGCCCACACACTAAACACCCCACATGCTGGTTCTCCTCCTCTCTTGATTCTGTTCTCTTAGCACACCAAAACCCATTTGTAATTCAGTGCCAGAGGGATCAAACAAAAACTAGTCATCACAGCGGCTGGGCACAGAAACAGAACAGCACCGGAGTGAAGACCTGTGCGGCTAAGGACACAACCTGGTCAGAAGCATCCTCCTTACCCAACAGGATAACCTCTGAATGAGAAAGCAGAGCCACTCACCATGGCGCTTCACCGTACAAACCTCCAGAACTCAGGAGGTCAGTATTACTTTGCCAAATGGCTCTGTCAAACCAACACAGCAAGAACCAAACCAAAAAACTGTTTCAGGATGCAAAAGCAGAGGGAGGTTCCTCCAAGCTACAGCTGTGAGCTCTTGGTTCCCTCCTTTAAGAAGTCCCAAGTGAAACAATTTACCCTTCAGGACCACGCGGTAAATGGGGACTTCATAGCCCTTAATCCCCCTACCCATTAGCCCCTGCCTCCAGCCTGCCTGTGCTGGCAAAGCTCCCATAGCCAGGAAGAGACAGCCTCAGGTTACAGACACATCTCTGGGTCCCAAAGATGCTGGCAAAACCTGGCCATACAGCCCCAAAGCCTCCATCCTCTGAGCATCAACAAGACATTAGTCACAGAAGGAGACAGCCAGACACGTCAGCCTTGAGCTTGTGCCAAACACTACAGCATTTCTCGGCATTAAGCTCTGTTTCCTCTGCAGCACTGCAGCAGCAGGGACAGTGGAAGGCTATTTTGGAAGCCAAGTAACAGCAATTTCACACATGTGCACAGATATATAAAAGTCTTCAGGCACTCTCAGAAGCTGAGACAGCAGCTTTTTATAAGCAGGTTATGAAAGGGGAGGGGAACCCCCCCAGATAACCCAAGCCACTGAACAAATTCTGGATATCACTCCATCTTCTAATGAAAATACCCTCTGACATGAGGGACATCCACAGTTGACAGTTGTTAGATGCAGCTAGGAAAAAACCTACACAGCTGCTTCTGCAGCTTGGCCAAAGCAGAGCCTGCATAAGAAGCAAGCCTGGAAGACTCTCCAGCAGCTCCTGTCATTTTGGGACTATCTCATGTACCAAGTCAACAAGCTTGACACACCTGGATTTCCAGGAAAGCTGCGAAACACCTTCTTACACCCAGACACCACAGAAGTAGAATGAAGTGCTTAGAAGGGAGCTTCCTCAAGTCCTTTAATAATGAATTAAAGCATTATTTACATTAATGTCCATGTTATTGGAAGGAAATCAGTCTTATGCTTCTTAACCAGAAGAGCAGAAATACACGGACACAAGCTGCAAATGAAAGTCTATCTCCTATGACTGCCCAGGACTATGGGGACTAGATAGCAAGGGACTATACTTGGTTTTTCTCAAACTGAAGGCAAAGGCTGTAAACAGCTTTTACTTACCGCTTCCATTAGACCTTTCAGAGATGGTGTCTTTAACATTAGTGCATCAAAAACTTCCTCTGACTCTTTTCGGACATAGAGCAACACTAAAAAGCAAATTGGAGAGAGGAGTTAATGGCATAACTGCTCCTCAGAAAAAATCTGTATATGATAGTGGCTAAGCACACAGTAACATACACTGAGGGTCTTATGAAGAGATACACATACATACATTCAGCATACATTGAAGATCATATCACAAACATGCATAGCTAGGTTAGCTCAAAACATGCTTTTGCACACAGAAATACTGCATGCTCAAGCATCTTTATTGTCAAAATAACTAAATCTCTATTTGATATTTTCTCTATCCTTCGGGAAAAAAGTCATATTTGAAACATGGAAAGGAGAAATACAAAACATAGCTTTGAGAGTGTCCTGTCACTCCGTATCTTACAGGTCACTTGCCATAAGGCTTTGCACAATAAAATGATGTGACAGATGCTGCCACAGCAGGGGAAGCCATCCAGGCCACCTCCTCATTTTTAAATAACTTATCTGTACAACCCTCTGCTGCTCCTGTGCTGTCTCATCTCCCTTCCTCCCCTTTGCCATGTTTCGGCAATACTCATACCACCACTGCTGACACACAGTGCAGACTTAGCCTCCTGCTAGGAGGGGAATGACAGAGTCAAGAGCTCAATGAGGTAAGCATCCCTAGCGTTCTCAAGCTAGCAGAGAGTCATTGTATGTAACATCTGCCTCATTAAAAACTGCATTAAGGCTGAGGAATAAGCCATGAGAGCAAGAAAGCCTCGACTTAAACAGCTTTGCTGTCTTTAATCCATCTTCTAATGACTAGGTATTACAGGCTGGATTGTTTACAAGGTTCATCAGCCACAGCTTTGACACACCTGTAACATGGAACAATTGCTGGCATTTCTAATTGACCAAAGTGAACTAAGGGCAGCACAGCACCTTGATGGATTTCCTCTGCTACAGGCAGGTGTAAAAAAAGGACTGTAGGTGTAAAAAAATGAAGGCAGCACACACACTCTCAGTTACAGCACAGGTCAGATGACACACCAGCCAAAGGGGAGAGAATCCCATGGCATACAGCAACAAGTATATGCCATACTTTATGGCATACAGCAACAAGAAAAATGAGGAAGTAATTTCCTTTTATAAAACAGAATTTCCTTTTATAAAAATCAATCCTTCCTTACTACTTTATCCAGACTACAAAATTGCAGCCCCATTAAGGTCGCTCACAAGATTTAACCTTTTCCACATCACAAGTTTAATCCTCCTAGTTCTTCAAGCTTTGTACTGGTCCTCCTACACATAATCATCATCAGGCAGGTAATCCTCTACACCACCTCCAAAGGGACCTCTCACCTTCTTCCACATCACCACAGCAACATCCAATCCCACAACACACTGCAAAGCTCTACAACAGGTTAAAAATAAGCAGAATGTTCTCTCAGTTTGGCTCTCAGCAGTAAGCATCCCATTTCCCAGTACCGGTTTTGCAGGTTTTATACCCAGAACAATTCTTGGCGTTCATTGCTTAAAGTCCTAGGGAAGTTTTCCAAAGCATTTTGTAGTGGATTATGTGATGAATTCTCTCACCCAATCCACCAAGGATATTGGTAAACTGCTCACTCTCCTCCAAGCCTCTTTGTTACAGGTTCAGAGCCAATTAGTGTCTGAATTGGCACAAAACCCCAGAAATTCTGACACTGTAGAAGATTTGTGGAGCTGAGCTACATCCTGATACACAAACCCTATTCCCAGTCAAAGCCAGAATAATCAGGCTGAAATAGACTCCAAAATAAACTAAAAAAATCCTTTAACCTCAGATGCATCCCTATCACGATGGACAAATACTCCAATAATTCAGTCTCTGAAAGAAGAAAATAATACCTCTTTTTGGTTCTTCTATTCTGGCCATCTTATTTGGAGTAGCGATAAAGTCCTCTTCACCAATATAGGCTCCTCTCTTCAGGTTGGAGCTGTCATTGACAGGGAAAAAAAGTTAGTGGTACGATTACAGGGACTTACCCCACTGTCTGAGGGCAAGACATCAGTAGGCTGAAGTAGCACAGCTCTTACCTTTCACCCTCCAGTTCTTCTGAAGCAACAGGTAGGACCTTTTAAAACAAAGGGGAGATGTTTATTGACATATGCAGAGAAACACATGGTGAAATAGTTAGTGAGTACCTGATGTGGTACCCAGTCCTCAGAAAACACAACAGGCTCTGAACGCTACGAAACGAAGTTGCCTAAGGACAGACCCATTAGCTGGTGTAACACGGTCTTGTCAGCGACGCTCTCCCCATCCCTCTAAGTGCTACCTGTTAATATAGCAACGTAGCATTAGCTCTGTTTGCACTGAAAAGTCACTGGCATAAAACCACGCTGCTGCATCCAGCATGAGCAGAGGTTTTTCACCACTGAGTTAAAGGATAGGGAACCCCTGATATCACAGCAGGCATAGGCAGATGGCTCAGCCACCCAATCCTCTTGTAAGCACATCAGTACAGGACACAGGAGACACCAAAGCTGTCAAGTAGGGTACCAGTCACAACCACACTACTAGAAGTAAGATGCTCTGGTCCAAGCAATAAACATTGGCCTTCATTTTAATACATGAATAATACTTGCAGTTAGGGTAGTAAAAATTTTATCCAGAACTAGATTTCATTTCTTATTACCTTTCAACCCTGTAAACAATGACACTTTGGCTCAACCTTCCAAAAGCCAGTAAGCATCTTCTTTACCTTTTTTGATAAAGGCATATTAAAGGATCTCAAATGAGAGACACAGGAACATACAAGAGCTAACCAGCTTTCCATCTGGACTGGTGCAGTCTTCTGACAGACCTCAGCGCTAGAGCCTTTGTAAAAGCACATGCAGGAAAGTCAGCCTCATGGGCACAAGTTTATTCTCCATTCCTGCTAAGACTTTAAGCAACACTCTTAAAAGGTGAGGACTGGATTATGTTAGAGGGTGCCAGAGCTCCTGGCACAGCAAACTCCAAGATTTTGAAACTTGGTTGCAGTGTCATTTTTTCCCTTCCAGTTTCCTGTCAGCTGGGACTTTCCAGGAACGCTGAGGCAGGGCGCTCTGGCAGTGGATCACAGAGCCACACACACCCTTGCCAGCTTCACAGAAGTGATTTTCACCCTGCAGCAGCAGACTGGAGGAGCCCACGGTCTGCAGCAGCGCACCAGGAACCGAATGGCCTCCGCAAGAGGAAACCGGCCTGCAGCTCATTCAATGCACTCTCAGTTGGAGATGCTGTGATAAAACCCTTTCAGGTTCATGGAAGCAGGAGTTCATAGAAAGACTAATCAGGAAACATCCCCAGTTAACCCCAGCCAACATGTCTAGGAGCAACATCTCTCGCTCACGAGACTCACCCTGTCTTTACAGCATTGATGCAAACAGTTTGACATTTCACACGGGTGTATGTACACACAGCATCCCAGGCTTTTCCCAATTTTTTCCCATACCCTCCTCATCCCCACACTCATGAGCTTTACTTACATGAGCCCCACGCTGAAGATTTGCAAAGTGAACGTCAGGAATGAAAAGGACAGGCTGAGTGTCTAGATCCATGAAGGGCTTGAAGATGGTGATGTCCGTGCGTTTGTGTGAGGGAAGCATGGGCACTTTAACATCAGAAACTGCAGAGACCAAAGATTGAAACAGAGGATAGTGAAGGCACTGACAGGGCTGTGGCTTTCCTTCATCATTTAAAAGGCACATATACTCTTGGACAAGGGTACTCTGTAGTCAGGGTCAAAGGGAGAAGCTCCTGTGGTAGAGGAGTCTGAATCTCAGTTGTCTACCTCTCAGATGAGGGCCTGGATCCTGTGGAAAGAGCTTGTTTCACAGAGTAGGACAAGTTTTCTCCAGTAAGCTAGTTTACTTCATTCTGTATTAAACTGGGCTGGAGAAAGGTCTGACCACTCACCCCAAGAGAGGAACCTAAGGTTTCTAGGTACTAAGTAAACCACCCAAACAGAGGACAAAAAAGCTAGTCCAAGCCCCTGCTTCTCCCTTCTCCCTATCGATTCCCTCAAAAGACTGCTGGATTTCCTCTGTCAGGAAGGCAGAAAGACAACAAAGAGACAACTTGCAACACATGTGGTTCCAGTGGCGAGCCTCTCAAAACAACAGCATCACAGAACCACTGTGATACCACAGAGTTAGTACAAGTATTGTTCCTTGCAAGATGATACATTTAGAGCTACATTTTGATTCCACATTTCCAATTTTACATTACTGTTCAGCCTCACAAGCTGGTTCATCCTCCCCCAGACTCACTCTAGTTCTGTCTCTCACAGATCACTTGGGCTCTCGTGATGCACCAACTGATGTGAACAAGCCACCAAGTGGACAGGCTTCACCCACAAAGGATGGGTGAAAGTGAGGCAGGAGGTGCCTTAAACTGCACTTCAGATGCACTCATGTCAAACTGACCCGGAAGTGAAGACTTGGTTTTACCAAGTGGAAACATTTCAATTTTGGGTCAAGTTACCTGCTAACACTCCACTTCTTATGTCCCCAGTGCAAAATACACTTCTTTTTTTCCCCTGAAAAACTTAACTCTAACTCAATCCCTGTAAAAACAGCTTCGTGGCCTTTGTGATCCTGGAGCTGGATATAACAGCTTATGGCTTAAAGCAGACAAAAACTTCCCACACAAGAACTGAACAGCAACGGACTGTACTTTCCAGGAAAATAAAGGTCATATCAGGCTAAGGCCAACCCCAGGGAATTCAGTTTGGAAAGCAGCTTTTGTGAAGTCAGACAGTCCTGGAAGTCTGCACTGAAGCTGTTTGCACTTTTCCTGCCATGACGCAAGGGCTGCATGCTGTAATCTGCTGAGAGCCGCTGGGGCTGCTCCATGTGTGAAATGCTAACAGTGTGCTAAACCTACCTTTCTTTGGGGAAAAACAAACCCAAAACCCAGCCCTTGCTGCAACTGCCCTTAAGCAAATGGGTTCCCTTAGAGCACTTACCTTCTTCTGAAGCTGCTCCAGCAGCCTGTACCTGCTGCGTCAGGAAAATCCTGCCCAGCAAGCTGTAAGGTGCATGCTTGTTGAACCAGTTGGGACTGTTAATAGCACAGCTCTGACAAGAGCACTGAGCAGAGCAAGTGAGAGCACGCACCTGCCCCGTGCACAGCAGGAACAGGGAGATACATTATCCTCTACACAGCTCTGCTGGTGAATAACTAAGTGATCCAAACACGGGATCTGTTGCAGTCACCTTCAGCATTTAAAGGAAGGATGCTCAGCAGGAAGAGGCTCCACAGCCTTTACACACTACGGTGCTGAGGCTTTCACATGTGCAGAAACAACTTCTGCTGGAATTATTTACTAAGGACCACTTTGCTTTCTACAAGTGTGCGTGCAGGGCCGGGAGGCTGAAAGCTCAGCCCCAAGGCTGCCGCTGCCTGGGTATAGGGTTGTAAACACATCTTTACCTTCAGTTAAACCTGAGTTTAGGATTAAGCTGGAAACATTTGTAACAGCTCCAGTTCTCTCTGCCGCTTAGAGCTGCAGGGGGTCCGCAAGTGCCCAAAAATCCCACTCTCACCCTGTCACTTCAACTGCTAGAACCCATACCTGATTGAATATGCAGAAGGACCCTGCCTTGGACAAGAAGGCTCTGTAGAAGTGAAGTCCTAACTGACTCAGTATGTTGCAAAACACAATAAATGACTCCATAACACACTGCTTAAAACAAACCCTATTCCATACACAATATAAATTCAATTAAGATGAGCTCTACCACGGAAGTTATTTGTAGCCAAAATGACATCTAATATTCAAAACACCGACGGAATAATTTCTACTTACAGGCATTCAACTGAGAGCTGGGGTCAGTGCACTTGCCTTTTCTTTTGCTTTGCTTTCGCTCTTCATCCCTGATCTTCCTCTCTGCTCCCTGTCGAATGAGATTAAGGGAAGGAGAGAGAGAGAGAAGGTCTTTTTAGGCTTTTTAGTCTTTTTCAGCTGCGGAGGCAGGAACACCGATTCGTCAGAGCTGTGCTTGCAGGGTCAGCTCCATGGTACCCAAGCTGCAGGTCTGCCAGAGAGTGCCAGCTTTGGGGACCTTTTTACTTTTGAGTCCTGTCATCGAATGAAATCCCATACCACATCCAAGACGCAAACGCTTTTCTTTCACGTCAGATAAGGATGACAAAAGATACCTTCGGCTATAACAACTTTATAAAGTGTTACATAAATATGTATGTTTGAAGTATTTAAAACAAAAAATTACAAGTTTCCTCAGTTTAAGAGTTGACTAGATCATCATTAAATCCCGATCCATAAAAGTCACGCCACACCTGGATCACCAAGTGCAAGATACCTTCCTGCATGCCGCACATGGAGCTCGTAGCAGTTGTACCACCCTTCACTGCTCTCAAGCTGCAGGCATGCATCATTTTAAGAAGCAGGCATTGTTTCTTCTCTTTGTATCAGGGCCAGACTAAGGTGGAACGCCCAGATACCTAACTGTGTTCATGCCTGCATGGTTCCCTGCTCTCCAAACCAAGCAGCAGTGGGGAGAGACACGTATTTTCTGCAAGGTACAGACAGCTGTGACAGAGAAGGAAGATGGTTTATATTGGAGGCGTGTTCATTCCTTCAGCTCCGCCCAGACCTCACACATGCCTGTGGGTCAAGTCAGGTACGTCATGTTGTCGGTTGCACGAGGCAATAAGCCCAAGTAGATCCCTAGCATTCAATCCTGGTGCCACCACCAGATTACTGCCCAAACTGGCGTACACAAGTTCTACCTGTCTCCCAACACCCTCCTGCAAAGCAGGGTAAAAGGTAACAGTTATCTGGCCACAGGAAGCCATTATTTCTCATTCCCATCCCTGCAATGCTGCCAAAATACACCCACATCCTTGCATGGTGCCAGGGGAAGACTAGGTTAGCTATGGCGAACAAGATGTTAAAGAAGCATGCGGCCATGGGGTGGGGAACAGTGCCTAATGCTGTGCAGCACTGGAGAAGGGCAGCAACCCTCCTAAACTCCCAGTAAATCGACACCCTGTAGGTGACAGAATGTCTATGCCCAGTAGGTAGCAGAGGGCACATGTGCACCAGCATCAAAAAGGAAAATTAGCCTAGATATGTGATATGCATTAACATATATCACCTTTTCTCCCTCACAGCAGAAGGGACACAAGCAGCTTCAGGCAGCTGCCGTGAAAAAGACAAATCAGTAATGAAGACAGGCATCACTAGCTTTGATTGACCCCATAGAGCTGATACAGCCCACTACAGTTGATGACATCCCATTTGAACCTCAGCACAGCTGGACCCACACCCCTCTGCAACTTTCCTTACCAGAAGAGTCACAACATTTCAGCTTGACAGCAGGAAGACCAGATTTGGCTCCAGATCTGGTTTTTGCCTTTATGAGGAAATAATAAAGTGCTGCTGCTCAAACACTGTGCTCCAGAACAGCACCTGCTTCCTCACGGAGAATGTGCTAATCCATCATGACCACACACTGTGGGAAAACATCTGCCCTCCCATACCTACAGCTAGAGTTCTGCTTGAGAGTCAACTTGATCCAGGCTACAGGGGCCCAGGTAAACACATCTCAAATCCACATCAAAAAAGAAAGCCATATCTTGATAACAGGCTTTTCTGCCTTGCCAGGGAGCTCAGCAACAGCCAGGATCAGATATTTCTGAGGAAAAGGCAGTGGCAATCCTGTATTCCACAATTATGGAATAAATGAACTAGTAAGGAAGAGGTTTTCCCAACTTCACCTAGGCAACAGCCTACAGTCTAAAAACCAGATTTCATACTCTGGTCTAGGTGTTAAAGGCTGCAGGGGTTTGGTTTGTTGGTTTTTTTTTTTTTGTGGTTTTCTTCTTCTCAAAGACTCCAGTTGTGTAACGGACTCCTGGTCTGAGAAAGGGAATTGGCATTTTGGAGAGACCTGCCCTTGGAGGGACATGATCTATCTGATACGCAAGAGAGGTGCAGAGGGAAGATGCAACATCCCTTTTATTTTACTATGAGAGTAGGGAGATACTGGCATGGGTTGCCCAGAGAAGTTGAACACTGCCAGGGGTGGGGCAGACACAAGGCCAGGTTGGATGGGGCTTTGAGCAACCTGGTCTATTGGAAGGTGTCCCTGCCCATGGCAGAGGGTTGGAAGTGGATGATCTTTCAGGTCCCTTCCAACCCAAACCAGTCTATGATCATGCAACAGAAGGAACACTCTTAGTGTTGCTGTCCATCCACACCCATGCTGCCTCCAGCTGCCTTGCACCCTCTGTCCTTCCAACAGCATCTCACTTGTAACTACCATCCCATAAAAACCTTCCCACAGCACTGCCCATCACTGCAACAGAAACAGCAGGTCCCAGAGGACAGCACTAACTCTGGTGGGCACCTGGTGTCCAGCCAGGGTCAATCCAGCACCATGAGTCAGTACCTGCAGCTGTAAGGACCCAGGTCTGCTCACAGAAGCACTCGCCCTGTGCCTCAAACAAGCATCTGAGTACAGAGTTTGATTCAGTGTAATGATAAATAGTACTCTGCTTGTTGGCCTGTGTCCCCCGCTCCCACTGCCAGACCTGAAGAGGATCTGAAAGGCAGCAAACTTTGAGACCATTTCTACAAATGCAAACTGCAGAATCTTCGGGCACCAACCTCACACCGGCTGCATGCTCACAGAACAAACAGTGGTCACATTAAGTACAGAAAAATAATCTTTTCTCCTTGCCTCCCTCTTTTAATTCAACTTGCAAAGTATCTGGAGAAATAAAGCAAGAGAAAAGGTCAAAATCCCAGACAAAAATCAAAGGTACACTGGCATTACTGTAGTAATAATACTGTATTACGGTATTACTGTACACAGTATTTCTGTACTAGTAGATTTGCTGAAATTTATGGTAGACTGAAATGGTTTCCTTTAAGCTATGTACTGACTACACACCTGCTCTTTTATTAACCAATCTCTCTCACTAGCAGTGGCACAAGCTTGTCAGCAATTTTAGCACAGCGTCAGTAATTGATCAGACAACTTACGGTTAAAAGATCCTCCCCTTCCCTGCAGCAAGCCTATACTTGCTGGCACTGTCAGAACCCAGGCTGATAACACACCAGACTCCCAGATAACGAAAGAGCTTTAGATGACACTCTTGCCTCAGTTTCATTTTAGAGGAGGAAAAAGGAAAGAAAAATAGAAGGGGCAGGCAGAAAGGCTCGCTCACTCCCCTCCTTCCTCCCCCTGCTCCTGGAGGGATGGGGAGGAGAATGGAAAGAACGTAACTCCCACAGGTTGAGATAAGAGCAGTCCAGTAACTAACACAAACCACTGCTGCTGCCACCAATAATAACAATGATAAGGGAAATAACAAGGGAAGAGAATACAACCACTCACCACCTGCTAACCGATACCCAGCCTGACCCGAGCAGTGATCTAGCCCTTCCGGGTAACTGCCCCCAGTTACATCCTGGGCATGCCGTGCTGTGGTATGGAATACCTCTTTGGTCAGTTTGGGTCAGGTGTCCTGTCTCTGCTTCCTCCCGGCTTCCCCTCCTCCTTGGCAGAGCATGAGACTCACAAAGTCCCTGGTCAGACTAAGCATGACTTAGCAACAACTAAAACCATCGGTGTTATCAGCGCTGTTCCCATGCTGAAAGTCAAAAACACAGCACTGTGCCAGCTACTAAGAAGGAGAAAAATGACTGCTACTGCTGAACCCAGGACAGACCTATTTAAAAGCATATAGATGGACAGTAAGACGTGGGAGGATGAGTCAACAGGATGCTTCAGTAGAGGTAGATTGTAGAGAGTCCTATCTATTTTGGGAGGGAAGTAGTAACAGCATGTGAGACGAGTCTTTGTGGCAGTGGCCTGGGGAATGACAAGGCAAGATTGCACAGTATGGGACCTGAGCACGACTAGCACAAGACTTAAGAGTAGGGATTAGGAACCCATCTCAGACCTGCAGCTGCACAAGAAGAGATCTGAGATGTCACTCACTAGGAGTCTGTGCTGTGAAGACAGTCTGGATGTAAAGAACCAAAGGCCCTAATCAAGTAGGATGACAGCAAAATAGGAAACTGGTGTGATTCACAGCAATCAGAAGGACTAGGGAAGTCAAGGCAGCATTTATCCCAGCCTAGAAAGATCTCGGTCACTCTTCAGGCAGGAACAGGTTACAAAGACTGGGAAATATCCTTTCTTTTGCAAACTCACTTAAGCTTTTACAGCTGCTTTCAGCTCAGCTCCTGCTACATATCTTTCACAGCTTCTAGTGAACAGTGGCTTTGGGAAAGGTTATTAATTCTCTGCATGCTAAATCCATTTGACAGAGCAATCAAACTACAGCACCCACCCAACTTATAAATGGGGTTCATTATACTGCTGTATCCCAGAGGGATAATGTGCAAGTTAGTGGGCTTTTCTTATAACAAGTGTACTAAGAATGCACAAAGACATGTAAAAGGACCAACATTAGATAGCTTCAGCAAAAAAGACAAGCCTCCACTTGCTCTAATCAATTGCAATTATTTCTCCTACTGAGAACACTCCGCAGGACTTCCCAGGTCTACTGACACACAGTCTTCTGCCACTGACTGACCTTTCTCCAAAGTCACTGCTCAAGGACACTTCTCAGCACTCCAGCATTTTGAAAATAGCAAATTTATCTGAGGTCACCAAACACCATAACATAATCTGAATTAAGTAGAAGAGGCTGAACTTTTTTCCTTGCCAAGGCTGAACACAGATGAGAGTTTTCAGGAAGCCAGAAGAGCAAGTGGTAGAATTAGGGGAAGAAAAGTAAAATTAAGGAAAAAATGCTGCTAAGCTGTTGACCAACCTCTCCCAAAGGATCACTGGCACACAGACCCAATCTTACCTTGTCACAGAAGACTTTAATCTGGCAGTAAGCTCTATGGACAGGTTTGTTACTCCTGTTATTGTAGCTATAGGTATCGATCTGAAGATTCAGAGGCAGGCCTTTAACTCCCTTCTGAGAGGAGAAATCCGTGCTGAGGCAGTTCACAGAAATGAAAACCTGCAGAAGAGGAGAGCAGCACCCATCAGTAGTGACACACAGAGTCCTGGCTGGCTGCTGAGCAAGAGACTACTCAGCGAGTGCCAAGATCTAACTGTTCGTCCTTGCACTGCAAGCAGGACCTTCTTTAGAGTCACAGAATAGTGAGGGTTGGAAAGGACCTTAAGAACATCTAGTTCCAACCCCCCTGCCATGGGCAGGGACACCTCCCACTAAACCATGTCACCCAAGGCTCTGTCCAACCTGGCCTTGAACACCACCAGGGATGGAGCATCTTTCTTCTGAGAGATCAGGTAAAATCCCTGAGCAGCAGTACAATACCCTTAATTCTTTACATAAAGCCACTGCAGGGGACAAAGCCACTTTTTCCAGAAGGAATTTTAATGAACTCTTCAAACTTCATGCAGAGTCCACGCATATTTCCCAGAATATTCTGCCCATGAGATCTCCAATCAAAACTTTTAGCAACAGGAATCCTCTTACACCTAATTCCCACTGCCCAGTGTCCTACCATAAGAACACAACCATGCTTCAAAAGAATTATGTTACTTTGGGCAAGTTATAGCAAAGCTTTCCAAGGGTTTTACATAAGCTGCTGTGAGCACAGCTTACGTGTGAAACTACTTGGGTGGTTTTTGTTGGGTGTTGCTTGTAAGTAATATTAAAACCTTTAAAAATGTCTTAGGCAACATGTTACCTTTAAACACAAGAATAACACCATTATTTCAGTGAGAGAGTTTCAGAGCTTTATGCCTACAAAGATGAACACTATTTCAAGTATTCCCCAGTATGATTTACAATATCCCGTTAATGCTTGTATCAAAAGGAAAAGAAAAAAAATTTCATTATTCTTATAAAAACTGAATTGTGGGGAAAAATTAAGTGATTTTGAACATAGCTGTTTTCATTTTCATAACACAACCAGAGAACAAGGCCAATGCTGCTTAGAAGAAGGAGAAAACATCCCTGTGCAGATACGAACAGACCAGTGTACTTTGCATCCACATGAGCTTGCTGAGTGCCAGGCTTCTTTCCCCAGGCACAGTGCTCCCTTACTGGCACTTCTCAGAGGCAACTACAATGATTAATTACCAGGAATTTATGACCTACCAAGACCTGCAACGGCTCCTCTCCTCTCCGCCTCGTGAATAAAGGCTAGGAACCCAGCCTTCAAAGAATAATGAAAAGCCTTGGGAGCCGGAAGCACCTTGCCAGAGATCTCGCAGGCTCACTACCTTATCCCTTACTGTGCTACTACCATGCAGCACCCATTTGAGTCTCCATAGTGACTTGGTGCCACCTCCCGGCGCCACCTCGGTGTTGCAAAGACCCAAGGTAGGTTTTGAAAAGCTTATGGGTTTGCGGTTTTGCAAAGTGCTTATCATGGGCTTCTTCACAGGGGTTCTGCAACATCCTGTATTAGTTTTAACAAAAGAGGGGAAACCGAAGTGTAATAACTTCCCCCGTACACAGTAGCATGAAACGCTTGGTGGGGATGGTGAAGAACAGTATAAGTGCCTTCTCTTGTAATAACTTGTCTAAATGTCCGAGATTCACACGCAATTTCTGGCAGCCCCTGTGAGCACCAGCTCCCCTCACACCAGCTCAGCGGTCTCACACTCCTGACAATGCCCCTGCCAAGTACTGCTTGTGCAAAGGGACGTGGAGATGTGTGAAGAAACAGTTAACTCGTGGCAGCATGGCATTTGGGCAGAGCCCCATCCCCAGCCACCCTGACCTGTGCTGCTCATCCTGCAGTGGCCCAAGCCAGGACACCTTGCTGGGTCAGAGCAACCCCAGGCACAGCTACAGGTGGGGCAAAGAAGAGATTCAGAGCTGCTCTGTGAAGAAGGACTTGGGAATATTGGTTGATGAGAAAATGAAAACAAGCCAGCTTCAGTGTGCAATCACAGCCCAGAAGGCCAACCGTATCCTGGGCTGCATCAAAAGGAGTGTGACCAGCAGGTCGAAGGAGGCGATCCTGCCCCTCTACTCTGCTCTCGTGAGACCTCACCTGGAGTATTGTGTGCAGTTCTGGTGTCCTCAACATAAAAAGGACATGGAACTGTTGGAACAAGTCCAGAGGAGGGCCACGAGGATGATCAGGGGACTGGAGCACCTCCCATATGAAGACAGGCTGAGAAAGTTGGGGCTGTTCAGCCTGGAGAAGAGAAGGCTGCGTGGAGACTTCATAGCAGCCTTCCCAGTATCCGCAGGGGAACTATAGGGATGCTTGTGAGGGACTCTTCATTAGGGACTGTAGTGACAGGACAAGGGGTAATGGGTTAAAACTTAAACAGGGGAAGTTTAGATTGGATATAAGGAAGAAATTCTTTACTGTGAGGGTGGTGAGGCACTGGGGTGGGTTGCCCAGGGAAGCTGTGAATGCTCCATTGCTGGTGGTGTCCAAGGCCAGGCTGGGCAGAGCCTTGGGTGACCTGCTTTAGTGTGAGGTGTCCCTGTCCATGGCAAGGGGATTGGAACTAGATGATCTTAAGGGCCTCTCCAACCGTAATTATTCTATGATTCTATGACATCAGTGCCAAAGGCAAGCCCTCGCTCAGTGCTGTATCCCAGCATCCCAAACCCATGCTGTGCCAAGATGACATTTTTGAAAACTTTAAGTACCTCACAAGTCATAACCAGGAAAATGATGTTCAAATAAGCTCTTCTGAACCTTGCCCAGACTAACCCCAATGATGGCTTTGCTAGCTTTTATCCACCTTCACTTTCTGCTGCCTTCAGCTTTACAAGGGCATTTTGCTTGCAGCGCTGTAACACACCAGGGGGAAAGCTTCACGGATTTTGACGAGCTGCTTCCAGGCACTGAGGAGCTAGGTAATCAGATGTATGCACAGCCTGAATAATTGTGTTCCCTGAGCAGGGGGTTGTTTTTTAAAAGAGCATCAGCTCTGGTGTTTGCATATTTTTACATATTACATTTTAAATTTATTTGCCCATCCTGAATATTCACACCCAGCCCTCACTTCTGCATGAAGAAATGACCTTGTTCTTTGAGAAAATGTGCCCAAGCAGCCATGCCAGCAGGTCCACCACAGCCTCCCAACTTCTGTGAAATCCCCCATCTGAGTTTCACACCACTGGACACAATGTGCAGCATCAACCACCTCTCAGTTCCCTCACAGGCAGTGCCACTTCTCTTCTGGGAATGCAGGTTTTCAGTTTTCATGGCTTAAGTGGGCTCCCTGTAAAGCCCATGCAGCACACTGGGCTGAAGGTAGAAGGGCTGGTCTCAGCATGACAAGACACATGCTACTACAGCGGAGCCGCTCGGGCATCCCATGGGAATCTGGGATTGCCTGTCAGATAACAAAGATTATCCTCCTACTTTAGAGTCTTCTCATTTGATTAGCTTTGGCTTTACACAGCTGACTTCATTTTCATGCCATTTAAGTCTTCAGGACTCCAGGCAGGAGATGACAACTAAAACCTAATCACCTCTCTGAAGCAACAGAGAGCCAGCTTGTCTTCTCCTGTCCATACAAAGCCATTTCAGTTCAAAAGCATCACCTACTTCTCCCTACCCATCCTGTAACTCCTACTTTTGAGCAGCTTCAGATTTCCTCAAGTGCTGCAAAACCAGAGTTTTAGTGAACAGCTTCTCCAGCCGGGGCTACAACAGTTTCAGCCAAGTGTGGTTTGTGTTCAGGAAGATTTGACTTGTGCTTGAAAAGAAGCGTAAGGCCCAGTGACTGCACCAGCTCCATCCCCACCCCAAAATTGCCAGAAGAAAGAAAAACGTAACCGCAGAAGTTGCTCTGCGTCTTCAGCCTGCTGAGCAAGATTCCTTTTCATGTGTCCAACCTATTTTTCTGAGGGCAGTTCCGCATTCTCAGCTATATTAAGATTTGTTGTTACTTTAAAAAAAAACCTTCATCTCACCTCCCAAGATTCGACATGAAGACAGCACTTAAAATAGAGCCTGAGCACCAACAAACCCTGAGTCAAACCCTCAACAGCTACACAGGTTTTCTTTAAAACTGAGATCTCTAAAAGGATTAGAAACCCGTTCTCGAGTTTCTTTGCTTGTTTAGCAGTTAAGCCTCTAGTCTGTATTTGAATCCTATTTCCAGGCTTTATTTTCCTTTTCTTTTTTCACGCCTTTTTAATTATTATTATTACTGAAAGCTGAGATTCTCATTGAGACAAGTGGCTCCACAGTGGCGGGGTTTCACATAAAACACCAAACAGCATGAAACCTGTGAGCTGGTGCGAGCTGCTAACTGCCCCCCCCCCCCAAATGACATTAACCCCAGCAGGCTACAGAGCTTCCTTCATCCCACACCAGGTTGGGTTTCCTGCAGCCTTTGGTGCAGACAAGCAGCAGCCCAGCAGCACACAACGGAAGACCAAAGGCAGAAGGATTAAAGCACGTCCTTTGGGATCACACTGGAAGTCAGCGTGGGAAGAAGCGAGACCTCATGACTTCTTGGTCTGCTTTAACCACCCGATCACTTGTGCTTCTCCTTGCTTAACTGGGGAGGAACACATTGTCCACATCTACAGGAAGCCACCTTCCATTTTAATAATGCAGGAAAAAAGAATTAATCCAGCAGCTCCCCTGCATGCCCTCAAGGAAGGGCAGCAGAGACAGCCAAGCTCTTTCCACACAGCACCTTTTTCTAACAAGATCTGCCTTTCAAACAAACCAGGCAAAACAGACATAATTAAAGGGCAATCAAAGTGCTGCAGGAACCTCGCTGTCAGCGAGATGAAAGATGCCTTTTCTAAATGAAGGCTTGCATACCCAGATCTCTTCTCCTCAGTTTATCTTGGACGCTGTGCTCTGTCACACAAAAAGCACCAGCAATTTTGACTAGGCCAAAGGCTACATATGCAGCAGCATATGAAATGTCACCTTGTACAGCCTCTTCTGACTCACTGCAAAGCGAAGCTGAAGAGGAACGATAGGTAGGTACACATCAGCAATGTCTGGGGTTGCCATAGCTAATGGCAAGCAACTCAGGTGGCTATTAGCA